CACAGACCCTGGGCCAGAGCAGTCAAAATTGGAAGCTCACGAGACTACGACTAGATGGTCCCATAGGACCTTGGCTGACTTCTTGAGTTCATGTTCAGGTGCATTTGAGCATTACCCGTATCCCAGGACAGATGAGCCCAGAACTAAGGGACAGTGAGTCTTGGACTGGACGGAACAAGGTGCCTTACACTCTCCTGGGTGAACACAGGCCTGTGGTTGTTGCCTTCTTGCACGTGGATGTGAAGGGTGGCCGTGGAGGACAGCTGAGGTTCCCCACAGTCTCTTGCTCTGATCAGTAATGTGAACAAAGGAGCGGTCTACAGGGGTGAAAAGGGGAAGTCATTCCTTCCGATACAAGAAAGGGAAGTGCAAGCAAAGTACACATTCCATTTCAAACGATAATAAAATCCACGTCACCTCATAATCCAAGCACCCGGAGAGTCGTATTTCTCCACTAATCCGATCGATCCGGAAGCCGCTCTCTTTCAGAAATGGCGTTTGAGAAGCGAGGAAGTAAAGGACTTGGGAATTTGGAGTGTTTTCTTGATCCAAATCAACTGTTACCATCTGCAAAATCGGCACATCTGCAGAGAATGTTTTAAAGCTGTTACTATGGGCTAACGCCAGAAGAAGCTGGATTCTGCTGATGGTCTGAGGGCACACTCCCTAAGTAATTAACTGCTTAAGCCTAAAACTAGAGACATCCTGGGAGTCCCTGGGTGGCACAAACCGGTCGGTACTCAGCTACGAGCTGAAAGGTTGCTGGTCCGACCCCCCCCCAGAGGTGCCTCAGACGAAAGGCCTGTGATCTGCTTCAGAACAGTCACGACCAACAACCTGCTCCGACACGTGGGGTTGCCATGGACAACAGCCACCAGCAATGCCGACACTAGACAAGATAAAGCCACATGTTTAAGTAACTCTAAAGTCAAGATGCCTCGGAAACCCAAGGAGGGGTCGCTATGAGTCAGGGCTGACTCGCCGGCACATAACAATAACAACAACAAAGTCAAGAAGAACTTTCAAATCCTGATCACAAATGCAGAAACCTTAAAGGACAAAATGGATAAACCACATTAAATCTTAAAATGCACGGCAAAAATAAAAAACAACCTATAGACAAAATGTAAAAGGAAATGATAAATATTTGAAATCTACATACAGCAGACATAGAGTAACATTTTAAATATAGAATAAGGAGGTTAAAGTCAAGATGAAAATGACAAGGATACCGTGGTAGTTCAGTTTGTGTGTCAACTTGGCTGGGCCTGGCTGAGTGGCTGGGCAACTGGTGGTAGTTATTCCCCATGATGAGACTGGTCATCAACTCCATGGAGGGATCTACCACAAGCAGCTGAGTAGCTGCCTTTGGGAATGTGGTCTGCTTCCTGTTTATAAGGAGAAGCCTTGGGAATGGTCTCTAGCCTATGGCATGCTTGGACCCTGCATGTAGCCAT